GCTCAAAAATTAGTTTTCTGAAGTGGCTTTTATTATTTCGTATGGATAGGCCAAATTGATATGCCTCAGTTGGTAATGAAGTGAGTGGAAAGATATTTTGAAAGAGTTTAGTTTGTGGGGGCCTAAAATGAAAGAGGGAAAGATAAGTGAAACTAAAAGGAATTCAAAATGGTTCCTAATGACTATATTATGAAATTAAAAACGAGAAACTGTTTTTTTATAAATTACCGATCCTGGTGGTTCAGGTATACATATGTACATATGTATGTACATACTATGAAAATAGGTGAGGGAGACGCGGCCAGGAGCAGACTCAGGGGGGGTGTCCGGGGGGTCCGAAAATTTTTAATTTGCTTTTGGCAAGTATGATTTCCACTACTCCTATGCATACATATAATATATTATTTCTTTTCCAACATACATACATATACGGCCAAGACTTCGCATTTAAATCATTTGCCTAAATATGAACCAATTTTAAGAGGGTTGATCAATGATCAAAAAAGCATTAAAAATGTATCTTCCTCCCTCCACAACGATTCAATTCAGTTTGCTCAATTTGATTTTCTATGAATAACCTCTTTTTCCGCCCACGCTCTCCAATTACAAGCAATAATAATTTTAATTAAATGAAGGAAGACCGGTGACCAAAACAAAGGCAAACAAACAACAGAAGAGACAAGCCATGGAAATGAATCCCGAAATGGGTTGCAAACAAATTACGCCGCAGAAATGAGCTCCAGCGGTGACAAATTACAAGGAAACAACCAGCGACGATGAGAAATGACGACAGGCGGCAGAGGAGCGCAACGGTAAACGCCAGAAAGAGACGGAGACAGGGAACAGTGTACGAGCAGGAGGACAGTAAACAAATCCAGTGCTGACAAATTGGGCGGTTTCTGAACAAAAAGCAGACGAGGAGGTTTTCAATCGCGAAACAACTTTTTTTAAGGTTAGTTTTTAATAAGTGTTAACAGGGCCGGCGGAAGGTGTATACCGGGTGTTGAGCACTCCACACGCCAAATCTTAGCGGGTGTGGAATTCAACACCCCAAAATGCTTGACTTGTAGAAAAAAATTTACTTACATCCATTATTATCAGTTGAATGTATGATTCAAAACTGTTTCTCCGGCCCTGCATATAGAGTATATCGAAGAAAAACGAAGAGAAATCCCGCCTTTAACACGGCCCAATTAAATCAGTTTCTATTTAAATAGATAGATAGTAACTCTCCCAAATACTTCCCAAGTTAAGCATTTTCCAACTTAATGTAAAAACTACTTAAATAATTATGAGATAATCATAAATAAATCTTTTCAGATTGGTACTTACTCAGTTAGCTCCTTGATCTGCACTGCAATCTTTCGTCTTCTTGAAGTAAGATAATCACCGCAACCACTTTATTCGCAACATTAACACTTAACACTTTACCCTGAAATTAAATAAGAAAAAAAAATAATAATAAATAATTTGTTACAAATAATAATAGTTAGAATTATTTTGTTAGTAAAAAAGGTATTTACCTCTTTGGGTTTTTTATTCACTGCATCTTGAAGTTCACTCCAAGCGGAACGGAATAGTCATCACTGTAATGAAAAGAAGCATTCCAAAATATTAGTTAAATTATTTTATACAAATCGGTTGTTTAAAAAATACATACCCCAATGAGGTGATGCACTGCATCCTGGAGTGGAGTTCAATAAGATAACCACTGCAACCACTTTATCCGCAACATGTACACTTTACACTTTACCCTGAAATTAAATAAGAAAAAAAAATAATAATAAATAATTTGTAACAAATAATAATAGTTAGAATACATTTGTTAGTAAAAAAGGTATTTGTTAAAAAGGTATTTACCTCTTTGGGTTATTGATTCACTGCATCTTGAAGTACACTCCAAGTAGAAAGGTATAGTCATCACCTGTAATGAAAAGAAGCATTCCAAAATATTAGTTAAATTATTTTATACAAATCGGTTGTTTAAAAAATACATACCTCAATGAGGTGATGCACTGCATCCTGGAGTGGAGTTCAATAGAAGATCACGCCATTCATAATTGATCCTGCAGCCTGTTGTCCAGTCCATTTATGTGGTGTCAGCATACTATATATTTCCGGTAACCGCATTCTTACAACTATTACTATATATATACTACATATATTTATATTATATGTCGCTACTTGTTTACAATTATTAATTGTGTTTGATTTTCATGTACTTCAAGTTCAATATTTGATAAAATTTACCTTTCAAATTTCTTTCATGTTCTTGAAAACTTTCAGATCTTTATCTGTTTCTTTTAGTTTCTTTGTCAAAATATTTATGATTTTTTTAAATATATAACTTAATTATTTATTGTCTAAAGGATGTACTCACTGCGTAATAACTTTGGTGCAGTGCATCCTGATGTCGAACTTCAAGTTACAAGTTGGATGGTGTCACCAATTATTTTCTGCAATCAGCCAAATACACAACCAAAAACCTGAAAAAAATATAAAAAAAAATTGAATTAATTAACTGCATTTTTTTTACAAAAGCCACGTCTTCACATAATTAAAAAAAACTGCAACTCACCTTTTCAGGTTTGGATGCCCTGCATCCTGGAGTCCACTACATGCAGGAAGGGATCGGGAACCTTTAAGTTTATGCCAAGTCAGGTCATGATGCAGTGCATCCTAGGAGGAGTCGACCCATGGTGCACTGCATCCGGGAGTGGACTCCAGTAGGAGGAGTCGACCCAAGATGCACTGCATCCGGGAGTGGATTCCAGTAGGAGGAGTCGACCCATGGTGCACTGCATCCGGGAGTGGACTCCAGTAGGAGGAGTCGACCCATGATGCACTGCATCCGGGAGTGGACTCCAGTAGGAGGAGTTGGCCAGATACTCTCTCCCACTCTGGAACCACGTCACTAACACACACGCACACACACACACTTCCAGAGACCGGAAAAAGTTTCTTAGAGAAACTGCCGGTCATCCCGGAGAACTGAGAAATTGGCCAAAATCAAGGGGTATCCCACTACGAATCAGCCAGAACCACTTGGGAATTATAGGTGCGAGAAAACGAAAAAAATAATTAATTATCATTGTCGCTGACGTGGCCATATTAATTTAATTAACATTTAGTTAACATTACATTTACATTATATTAAATTAACATTATTTTAACATTAAATTAACATTACATTAATATTAAATGGATTTTAATTAACATTTTACATTTAAAATAGTTTTTTTTACCTGTTGCATTTTGATTGATTGGTGTTGTTGTTTTATTAAAATGTATACTTACCTATATTATGTCAACAGTGTTTCCCTCATCATGATTTGGAATGATTTTGAAACAAAAGGGGGGGGGGGGGGATATTGAAAATTTGTGAAGTCATCACCCCACTTAAAACTGTTTCTCCGGCCCTGAGTGTTAAGGATGGAGTTATAAAGGCTCCCACTCAACGAAGCATTTTTTCGAATGATTTTTTTAAGCTTTTTATCAATAGAGTCACAAAGAATATACCGAGTTACTTAACAAATAGTGCTTCGACTGAAATTATTTTACACATTTTTTTGTGAGACGTTTAACTGAACATTTTAAAATTTATTGAATTGAAGTTATAATAAAAACAAAAAAAACAATTTTGTGACTTGGTACATATTTTTATAAATAGCAAATTTGTGATATTTATGTATGTACTTGGCCAAATGACCTAACTTAATAAATTATTCACCATGACTCTTAGATTTGTGGTACAGAAACCCATTTTTTATATCAAGTTGAGATATTGAGGTTAAACTTTTTTTCAAAGTTAGATTGTGCTGCGAGCGCTTGGTTGAAGTTAGGCAATCTTAGATTACATAATTGCTCAATTTAAAATGGGAGTGGAGAAAAGTGACTGGAAAACCAGCTGTCTTCCGATTTCCGCTTAAGGCCTCTTTGCACCTTTTGGCACGCGTTGTGCTGGGCACTTTATGGCTCCATCCAACTGTTCCACTTCCGCATCCTTTTAAACTAAGGGCGACTGCAATTCGTACTTGACCTATTGGTCGCCCCCGCTGATTTCGCCCTCATGCCGTGCTTTTCACATTTTCTCCACCTTTGGGTTTTTCGGGTTTTACGCCCGGATTTACATCTGTTTGTATTTTCCTCCCAATTTGCGACCCCTGTCGATGGGCGGCTTGTTGTCTGCTTCATTTGTGTTCGCGTACAGCTATTATGTCCATTAGCAACATTTTCCGGGTTTTGTTTAGAGTTTTCTACGGCTCAGCTTGCTTGTGCAAACTCACTTAGCAGTTGGCCATCTTATGAATGTCTTCCACCTCAATACAAATTTACTGACTAAAAGGGTACCTTCTTATCCCCTATATAATTTCTTATTCAAGCCTATTTAAATCAAATGAAGTATACCAGTTAAAATTAATCAAAAAAAAAGTTTGTTGTTAAAAAAAAAAATTCAAAATCATGAAAGGAAGCTAAAGCTAAAGGAATTTCGGATTAAATTTTATCAAAACTGGATAACTCTATAATATAGCTGCCATAGGAAGGATCGAAGTTTATATTTACATACATAATCGCGTCGTTGTTTTTAATACCACGAGCATGATGATATGAATTTTTTTTATAACCCTTGAATCGAGAAAAATTTTCATTAAAATACGACATAGGAAAGATCCAAAAATCTATATAGAAATAACGGAAATAAAATTATAATTTTTCGTCAGCATGATTTTTGGATTATAGAGTTATCTAACGTTTCTTGAATTACGAATTAAATTTCATCAAAATCGGACAACTATTTTAAAAGCTGCCATATGAACAATAGTCGAAAATATTGGAAATGAAAAATCGTCATAGCTTCGATGTTCTTTAGCCTTAATGTATTTTGTTTGAAGTATTTGATGGCTAAAAGGGTTATAACTTCCTTTCTTGTTTAATAATGGTCTGTATAGAAATTGCGATACAATATTTTAAAATCAATGCACATCTGACTTTTCTTTCAGACTAACTTGATCCAGATCTGAATATTAGGTAAAACCTATATTTTAAAGCAGAAACATTAAAGAACAGTAAAGTACAGAAATGGGAACAAAGAAGATCTACTGGAGTCCCGCCAGGGCAATCATACCAGAGATTGAGACGGGCGAAAAAAATATTTGGCGCAAACCATTTACACCAACTTACGAACAGGAGCAACCTCAAATGGGCTTGATTCTGTCCTGGCACTACGGTCGGCAGTGGCTGGAGGAGCGACGGAACCATCAGGAGAAAACCAGGAAAAAGATGAAGAAAACCGCCAAGTTTATTGCCCCAGACTTCACCAGTTGGCTTGAGAAACGCAAGCGAAACAAAACTAGACAACAGCTGATCAAAACCTAGTTTGGTTTATTTCTGTTAGTTACAATTTTTGATTATAAAATACCCTGAAAAGTCTCAAAAATATCAATCAATTATCTGCAAAGAGTCTTAACTTTTTGTAAAAAAATTATCTTAATGTGTAAAATAAAAAAACATACATACAACTTAACCATTTTTTTGTTTTTCTAAAAGCATGACACTAACTAGAATGTAAGAAACCAATGGAAAGTAATAATAAACATGTCAACATTTCCTTTCCTTTTCCATTCCTTTTCCATTAGACAATACGCTCACATTTTTGGAAAGAAGCCCTTTAGATAGTGTCCGAAGTAATTCAAAATATGTATTTTAAAAAATTCCGTTTTATACAAAAACAAAAGAAGTTGAATAAAAACAATTTTTTTGAAAGAATATAACATATTGTTACATCATTCGCGGCATCTTTCCCTGTAATTTGTGAATATGAATAATAATAGTGCGCATTTATAGAGGAATATAAAAAGTGTCGAACTTTATGAGAATTTCATGTTTAGCAGTAAAGTTCAAATGGCTTCCCAAATGTGATAGGCCTCGACACATCAAGCAAGAGTCTTAAAACACACCGAGACCGAGACAGTCAGTCAGTCGAGAAACCGACTCCACCGACACAACACAAGTGAAAGGGAGAAGCCATTGGAGAAGAGCATGATTTCCAGTATCAAGATCTGGAGCCGATCGCCGCTCATTCCGGCGCGGGATCACGGGTCGGCGATCCTTCCGCCGGCGGATCGGCCGGAGCCGATTCCGGAGCTCTGCGAGGAGAAGCCGCCGGTGATGGGCTGGCTGCTCGGCTGGGAGTACGGCCGGAAGTGGCTGGAGCGGCGCGAGGAGATCCACCGGCACCGCAACATGGTCAGCAAGTTCGGCCGGATCCCTGCTGATTTTGGCTGGTGGCTCAACCAGCGCAGACCGCTCTTCGTGCGCCAGCAGCGGTTCCGGACCAAGGCCGCCCAACATCCCCGTAAGCCGATCACGGCCTTCGAGGTCTCCAAGCAGCGGCGCGCCGCCCAGAACAAGAAGGTCGAGGAGAGTCTGGCCAAGCATCAGTAGAGCGCATAACGGTTGCAGTTGGCCAGGCCAATATGTCGTTTGCTGTTAAAACTGGCGCCAAATTGCTCACACACTGTCACAAACATACATCGGAGTCCTTAATAAATATTAATTTATTGCCACCGATTTTGTGATTTCTTAGGTTAGGTTGAAGCGAAGATTTTAAAATCTTTTTAACCTTGAATCTAACACAGTTGATAAGACAGAGCCCATAACTGCTATTTAAACAGTCTAAGATTATGCTCGTAAATTGGTTTTCGAAAATATAACTTCCAATTATCATCTACCTCTAAATTTACGGAATAGAAAATCGACCAAATATTCTTGATTTTACAGAGTGCTCTATTCTGGGTATACGCATAAAAATTATTTTTCTATCACGTAAAATTAGGAAAAAAAACTTAGTTATAATAATTTCTATTACATCTGTGCATCAAAAAATGAATTTAGTTTCAAAAAACAACAAAATTGTTGTTTCGGCAATATCTTACAAATTTTGAGACCCCAGCTTAAGTTCTGACCTTTAAAAAAATTAACGCAAATTAGACCGCATTGGAGAGCAATCGACTGCGAAGGCAAGCCGCATACGATCTCTAGTTCTGTCATTCATCTCCCGATTAGGGTTATGCAAGAAGGCTTTTGTTGTTTGTTGTTATCCTACTGTTTGCAGGACGAGGTCGCGACGTAGGCACAGGAAAAACAAAAGCGCAGCATCCGAAATCCTTCCTTCGCCGCAGTCATTTGTTGTTGATTCGGCTTGCCCTGTGAAAATGTCATGCCAGTGGAACAATGGATCAAATGTACATGTACATACGTCCATATATGCAATGGCCTTCATCATCATCGTCGTTGATTTGTTCTTGATCGTCATCAGAGGACGGGTAAGTGAACAATTGGCCCGACTGAGGCCCGTGGGTATTTGTGCGGGGTTACACATATTTTTTATTTGCATTTCCGCCTCATTAACTTGGGCTCGCACATCTAACTATTCAGATCAAGTATATTATGTGTTTTTGTTGGCTTTTCGGTCTTTATTATTGTATTCCCTTTGGCGCGAAAACATTGCGAAAATATATTCCGTAGGGGCGTGCGCTTTTGCCCACCGTAAATTGCGCAGTTAGGTTCGTCTTTTTTTAACCGCGTTTATTATATTTCGATTTTAAGGGTTATTTGTTCGGCCTACCAAGAATGGCCAACGGATCATTACCGAAATAATTCATACAGAAGAAGAAGTCTTTTTGAAAAATGTTCTCGTTATTAACAAAAAAATTTAGGCAAATATATTAAAAATAATTTATTAAGTAATAAAACCTCCTTTTTCCATATTTTAAGATAGTAACGTGACAAAGACACACACAAATCTTGTAAAATCCTTTTAAAATAGTCTCCAAGTATTAAATTCCAATTCTCTTTAAAAACGTATATTGTGTTCTTGTCACCCTGCCATCCACAGATACAATTAATCACGAAACGCTTTTACGAATTATTCATTTAATAATGGATTCTCGCTGTGGATTCAAAGTAATTAAGTTAAATAATCATATACACTGTGAGCTTATTAAAACCCATTAATTTTGCACTTGTTTCCCCTTGTTTCCCGCAACGATTCAACATTGTGTATTTTCAACAACATTCTAGTTTCGTATAATTTTCCACGCCATTTATGCCACGAAGAACATTTTCCAGCAACATCAACGGAAAAAGACTTCATACTGTGCTGCAGTTTTCTGCGCATAAATTAATGAAAACTTATGATTGTGATGATGATTTTTTCATAAAGAGGACTGGTAAAAGCCAGCTAAAGGAAGGGCTGGGAAATATATGATAAACCATTAAAGAAGTGGCAGAATAATGGAAATATAAGATATTACTTTAAGCTTTTGCTGATCCAATGAATCAATGTTCCGCTTACGGAGTTTCAATAGTTTTAAAGTATGAAAAACTACCTTTTTAGGGTTATTATTTTAAAATATATTATAACATTTATCAGCCTTTTTAAGTCTTTCTGTTTTTATTAGGCCCTAACTTAACCTAACTTCCTAAAAAACAGTGTGGGAGATACTGGCTGATATAAGAAAACTTGAATTTTTGTTTTTACATTTATGAGTAAATAAAAAAAAAAATACCTCAACATTTACTATAAAAGCTAATTTCAACAAGCCGATGTTTTATGCCCTAACAATTTAATGAACTGAATTTTAGGGTACATTGAGGTTCGATCAGGATAAGAACTCCGTGCTACTAATAAGGGGACGCCTGCTAATATTAATCATAGTGGGGATCTCTGACTGCAGTTAAAACAAACCTTTCTGTTATCAAACAAACTAAAACGACAACAAAAGCGATGACAATAGCACTTTTAACGTGCAAAATTTTGACATTTCAATGCAAAGTGTAAAAATATAGTATTAAGAATAGCCATTAAGAACTATTTTGCGCAGCCGCTTCTCCCAAAATAAATGAATTATCAAGATTCAATTTTAGGCCTATTTTCTAAAAAGATACCCTTAAGTACAAATATAAAACAAAGGTACATGACTTATATATGTATATATTTATATATATATGTATGTGGATATCAACATTTTTTTCTTATAAAGAATGAATATTTAAAACTTTCTTAAACATTAAAGATCGGGCTTATACTCTGGAATATAATATTAAAAAAGATTTAGGTCCATTAAACGAATCTTTCTTAAATAAATTAAAAATGATAAGAACTGCAAGTTCTTACACTTAAAAAATCCAACACAGTCTAATTTCAATATTTAGTGGGGCCAGCAGCTTAAACAGCCATTGGATTTGCGGTCGAGTAACCAATGAGAAACCGCAAAAACTAATTACATCGCCAAAACGGCCACGGATAAAAACAAAATGGCCATCGCCAGAAGCGGAAATGTGGCTACGCTCGTGAGTGCGACCACAAAGCAGATGCTGATTATGAAGATAATTAATATGGATAATTAAACAGGCAAATGCAGTTCAGAAATTGCATTGCCAAGCCAATGACCACAGAGGAAAGGGCAGCCAAGGGAATAGGAATGGCAAAAGGGAAAGGGGGATGGGTAAAGGGAAAGGGGATGGGGAAAAAAGCTCGAAAAACAAGCAGAATTTCAACGGCTCCTGCCACATAAAAGCCAATTAATTATTTTTATGGCTACTCCGGGCCGAGAGCCAACTCCACCAACGGAAGCCAACAGCCAGCGTCTTGGGCTCTCGTCTTTCCTGGACTCGGGATAATAAAAAATTATGGCCTGCGATTTGGCTCACTCGAAACGGAGCGAAAGCAACCGAAAAAGTCCATGGCAGAACGCAGTGCGCCACTGACCAGGCCAAGCCCCACCTTCGTCCCTTCGCCCCATCGCAGTGCATACTAAATCCTCGGGAAAAGTAAAATCCTGCTCCCATGCGAGGGCCAAAAAGATGGCGCCGTGCTGTGTACAAAATTGATCAGTGGATTCCCTGCCGTTTGAACTATGACGCGATATGTCATCATATTTTCTCGTTGCACTCGCCGGGACGAAAGGGTGGACGAGGGGGGTAGGGGGAGGAATTCTGGGGCTCCTTGTTTGCCATGCATATTTTCCACTTTGTCAAACCCTTTGTGCACTGCACAAGGCCGCAATGAAATTGCATTGGAACACAACGAAAAAAACCATTGGTTTTTGTGGATTCCAAAAGCGAAATGTCATTAGAAGTCAACTGACTGGTTTTCAAAATCATTGGGAATTCAGAAGCACCAAACTATATTAGTTAGCTTTTGCTAATTCAGAAAGGATTTATTCATAGGATTTTATTGCCTTAAAAATACTTCTCAAAATATATGTTTTCTGTAGCTGTTATTTATGATATTATATTACTATTTGTATTAATATTTTAGATTCATAATTATATAATATGTATGTATATTGACCTCTCTTTCGAATAAGCGAAACCCACAAGATACTATATATTTTGCTATCTTATATGTATTAATCTTAGTCCCTGCGTATATCATTTATATATTAATAATAGTACGTAGTTTGAACACCTACACACATATGATTGTTGAAATTTTACATTTTAGGTAACACTTTTTATTACAGATATTGTGGCAAAGTTTTTCTTTGTGCACGAACCCTTTTCTTCGCTTTCCCCTGTCCCATTTGGATTGGTCATCTTGTATTTAACAGTTGGGCTGCACAACATTCATTGCCTGGGCTACCGCAAAATCAATTTCGACCCCAACTTTATTTAGCCTTTGTTTTGGATTTTTCGGAGGCGCCTCAAACCGCTCAGGGCCAATCCCACCGCTGGACTCCGTTCATTTTATTGGCCAAGGCAAGAGCCAGAGTAATGGCCGCCGCCTTTCTGCAAAGGCTCCTTCTCCCTTTCCCCTCGCATTTCATTACGTTCTGGGCAGTTTCGTTTTTGGCTCGGATTCCGCTCGCAATTGCTGTTTGTGGCTTTCTTGGTAAATCACTATTTACGAACGTTTTGTGGTTGATAACTGAATACTATGGTTTTTGGAAAGCTTGAACATTGTATAATCTTGTCCTCTATCTGGTTAAAAATAAAGAAAGAATAAATTAGGTTTCATGCAAAGATCAATCAAGTTAAATTTTGAAAAAAAACATTACATTAACTCTCAGTTCTTTTTTAAATCCTATTTTGTGACTGTATAAACTTATTGATATCAACACCTTAGGGGTTTTGCGAGTTCAGGTTTTTTTCTTGGATCCATGTGCATCCAATTGTTGCAGGAGTCTGCAGCACAATTTCAAAATAGTGCAGAGTATTGGATTGGGTCACAGTGATTCTAGTGATAAATGTTCATTTACCGAAATATCTATACTTTTATCCATTAGGTCTTCAGATTTTCTCCTTTGCAAAGGCAGTTCATTAAAAACTTCATTACCCAAGGAGGAGGCAAACTTGGCAAATCAATTTTGATTTACTTCGAGAAGCAACAGACAGACGGAACATACATACATCAATACGCTCGCCCCCATAGCGGTCATCCCCCTCCCCCTGGCTTTCCCATTACCTCCCCGGAAAAGCCCTCGGACCGAAAATCTCTTTTGGGGGGCTGCTGCCAGAGCTGGAAAACGAAACGTTCCATCACCGGCGAGAGTGTTGATGATGGA